ATATATATATATATATATATATATATATATATATATATATATATATATATATATAAAGTTTATACTAAAAATTAATTTTTATCAAAAATATGATAAATGCGTTTTAAAGAGGAAACTGTAAGCTTTCTATTTATTTCTTCGTGAATATCATACACCAACTCGTCTACTGTAAACGATCAAAATCAGTGTTTTTGCTTCAACATTAAATAATTCTGCGAAAAAAACATACTGCAATCTACAAGGATGCAAATTAAAATAGAAGGTTTACATTTTTGTGTAATTTAAATTTCATTTTCTTATCATTTTTTGTTTCCCTTATAGAAATATCATACTAAGAATCATTGATAATTACTTATTATCCAGTATTTTTAATACTGAAAATAAGTAACTATAAGGATTAAGCAGTGCAACTCAACAAACTTCATAAAATGTTTTAGCATTTGACAAATATTGATTCATACTCTTATGACATTGCAAAAATTAATTAAACTTTATTTTTTGCTACACGTCTAAAAACTAGATACTTTAAACTATAAAATAAACCATCCGATTTGCATTATTTTTGTGGTAATTACAATCAGTTAAATTTTATGCACTTTCGAAATTGAGAGAAGTGATCCTTCATTTTTTGTACATGTATTAAGACGATTTCGTCCACAGTCCGAGCACCACGTGTCCACATATACATCTAAAAATACTTTGGCAGTACAGTGCGGGCATACGATCGCGCTGATGAGATCCGATCGATCGTCTCAGGTAGCGGAATGGACTTGTCGCGCTACCGCAAAATCATCATCTACGTGTTGACGTTTCTCGCGTACGGGTGGTCCGGCTATGGCTCCGGATTGTTGTCGAATCTGCGGGACGCCGTGTTGGCAGCGGAGACGGTTTTTCACGACTTCTTCGAGAACGCCATAACCGTAGCTAAGAAAATCAAGGACATACACGAAGTGTTTGACGCTGCGGTGGAAGAAAACTGCGTCTTCCAATGTCCTGATGGTACTGCGCGATTCCAACGTCTTGTGACTAGCTTTATCAACTCTCGCCGCGTTATCAGGTTATCACGGAGTGCTCCAATGCCTCTATTGGTTGTTTAGCGAGACTCTGCGAGCGGATTGTTTTGATTGAACTTTTTACACTTTGTCCCTTTCTCCTCTATATATTTTCTAGACCGGAATGCGGCTTTGTCATAATAAACGACGAAAGAAAGTAAGAAGGTGCATTCTAAAGAAACACATTTGTGATTAATTGTAGCCTATTACGATACAACATTGTTAGAAATCACACAGTATATCTATAATATGAATACTGCGGAGAGTTAGGTTAGGTTACGTTTCTGGCAAGTACGCGAAAATACGAAGCTGATTTTTGGTTGGACGAGGACTCAGACATGTGTTATTTCGATGTTTCAGGATCCGCGCCGAAACCAGACTGGAATCACAAACCACAAAGCAACGGATGTGGTTCTCTTGGAATCGAGGTTAGCGGATATCCAGATTAAGAAGTGCACGAATGCGTAGATCTGAAATGATGCATTTATACTTGATCTATAACGAATTTAAAATTGCTTTAAATAGTTTCGTTAAAAGATTACGTTCTAAATTCGTAAAACAAAATTTATAAACTTATTGTTTAACTAGAGGTGTATTATATTAAATTTACTGGACAGCAGATATTGATTTATACAGCCAATTGAATTCATAATTTAGCTTGTGATGTTTCTGTCAGTTTCTTTTCAAGTTTTAAAACATGCATAGATCTGCAATATTTATTATTTTATAACGAATTATTACCAATTATTATTATTAAAGTTCTTAATCCCTCACCGAATTTCTTTGGAATTCTTGATTGATGATGAATAACAATGTTATTTTTTGGGTATATTTTTTATCTCGACATACTTTGCAAAAATTTTTAGCATGTATCTTCTCGTTTCTGACGTCATAAATCAAAATGGTCGTGAAGTCAAGAATTTTACAATTGAAATATATTAAACATTTCTAGGTAAATCAAGAATACCTTCCGTTGGCCGAGATGACCAAGTGCTGCGATTTCCATGACTTTTGCTACGACACGTGCAACACCGATAAGGAAAAATGCGATCTGGAGTTTAAGAGGTGCCTCTATAAGTTCTGCGACACGTATCAGACCACCGGCGTGACGATTGTCAATACGTGCAAGGGCGCGGCAAAAGTGCTGTACACGGGGACAACCGCACTCGGTTGCAAGAGCTTCCTCGACGCCCAGAAGAAAGCTTGCTATTGTCCGGGCAAGAGTAATCATAAGAGCAAAAAACACAAGAAAGCAGCGCAGGCCGGCGGCGAATTATAACGTCACGCCTAACATAAGATAATGCGATGAATTTATTTATGAAAATATGTTGTACTGATATAACTATTCTAAGCATTATTTAAGAATTTAATGTCAATTGCGGATGACAAACTTCGTGCGAAAATGGGGTCGATATATCCCCAGCATGTTGTAGAAATTTTGTTACAAGTGAAGAGCAATAATATTCTTCATAATTAATTAAGATTTCTTTCTGAAAAAATCGCTAACACGTTGAATGTCGTGATGGTTTCATTTAAATAACGTATAGAGTACATTTAATACAATTAAGTGTATTTGAGAAATCATGGCTGTGTGATTAATAGAGAGGTGATGAAACAAAATAGAGGATGCAGGCGTGCCAAGTAACGACTATTTACTGTATTTTTTTGGCGAGTCAATCGTCAATTAAGAATTGCATTAATTAAGAATTGCGTCAAAGCTCCTGTATATTTATTCTATAATTTTTAACGATAATATCGTTATCGTTCAACGTCGTTGCGCAGCTATTACATTATATTTATATGACGACTCAAGCGTTAAGAAATTACAAAGCAGCCCTGCTAAGAATTTCCACTGTTGCGGAACCTTGGATTGATGACGTCAGAAACGAGAAGACACATGCCAAGAATTTTTGCGTGCTATTTTTAAATAAAGATATTTGTATGAAAGAACAGTTCAGAACGCTTGAACATATCTGTAAGATGAAAATGATATGCAAGAATTTTTGGCATGCGTTTTCTCGCAGTTTTCTGACGTCGTCAAGCCAGGATTTCGCAGTAATAGAATGCCAGGAGCCTTAAAAAATATAAGATAAGGGATATCGTATATACTGAGTATATATCGGGAAAAGATGGAAATTGTTTCGTCCGCAATAGCGCTGATATCGAAAGCGTGTTTGTCTTTTGAAAAAACAAGGGATAGTCTTTTGCAACGCGAACGTCAATATGACAACTGCCTTCGGACGAATCACTGGTTAGAACCGGTGAAAATAGTAAATTGCCAAGTGACGTTACCTCAGTCCAGATAATCGAGAACGGTTCCGTCGTAGGAAGCGGAATCTGCACAGCGAAAGATGGGAAACGCGAACTCCACGCGGCCGCCTAAGACCCAGAAAGATCGAAAGACAGAAGGCCACGGCAGGTAAGGCAATCTCTGCCTTATGACAGAGCGAGGCTCTATCAAGATGAGCAGGGAGCTGCTTCAGGTCATGATGTCGCGAGTGAGGAAAGATTCTAGTTTGATTTTCGCGCGACTTACGTCCACGTGAAAATCTCCTCAACAATTCCTCCCGAAGTGTCCCCAATTCTCGTTGATTTTTCTCAATTTTATGTGAACGAGGAATTACGCTTGCGAAGTATAAGGATTATTCGCTTCGCGACTCAAGACGCCGAGGCTCTTTTATCGTTAGCGAGGCACAGAGCGCACGAGCACAATGAAGCGCGCATAAACGTACTTTGCAGTTTTCCCTTCCACGTAGCGCAGATACCGGAAAAGGTAGACGGTCCGTGAGCGGAAACGGCAGAGCGGCGGCCGGTTCGAGTACGCGGAACTTCGGCAAGCGTGATCGCGTCGGTGCGCGAGCGACGAACCCGTTCATCATTTTCTTCCTGCAGTTGCGCAGCAAGAAGCCGAAGGAGCCGGTCACCGTGGTAGCACGGGCCGCCGGCAAGTTGTGGGGTCGCATGTCGTCCGAGCAGAGGAAGAAGTACGTGGATCTCGCGAACGAGGAGAAGAAGCGACGACAGGAACACAGGCGACGGCGAAAGCATTCGAATGCGCGCTCCAGGTAATCATCGACGAGGAAGAAATTGAAACACGAGAGCTTTGCGAACGTTCGTAATCTCCGATAAGAGGCGAATAGTAACTTCGAAGTGAGAGTGGATCAATTTGTAATTTGTTTTTGCAAACAAGGATTCTTATGTAAACGCTTTAAAAAAATATTTTGTGTTATACATGAAATATAGTATAAAAATACGAAAAGTATTACATTCAACAAAAAATAAGATGAAAGAATAAGATACATAAAGATATATGTTCAAAAGTAAAATATCTTCCATGTCCGAGATGTAAAGCAACTATTGGTACGCGGTGCAGAAATGTGGGTTCATCACATGCAAGATTTATAAGTGAAACTTGAAAACGACGATTCCGATCCACTTTTATTCCGTACCAATCCTTCGTCGTGTGCGCAGCGTTTATAGCTAATTACGTTCTTGTGTCCAGGATGAAGTAGTGGAGGCTTTTGGAGGATCGGATACAGTAAAGCGCGGACGACTCTGTGTCGACATCATGCACTACTATACATGCTGCACTTATCATCGCACTCGCTGAGACATCTGCAAATGACCAGAGCTCAGTTATCATTTTTGATTTCTTTTTTATTTGTTAGTAGTTTTTTTTAGATCTATGTACAATAAATATCAATGTATTTTTACACTATTACTTATCTCATCATTCAATTACCCTAAACTAGGCGATCCGCCCTTATTTCTCTTTCGCCCTTTTCGTCTGAAAAAATTAAATCCGTAACGCGTACCATAAATATATTATTTTTTTTTGTTGTTGTTCTCGTGACCGTTCCGCGAAGCGTCGCCCACGACGGGAGGGGAAATTACGCATTCCGAGGAATATACATTCGCGAGGGTAACGCGTGGGAGGGGGTACGGCGCGTGGTTGACGTTACCCGTTTTCATTCTTCTTCGTCGCGCGAGAGTTTTTCATTTTTTTTCTTTTTTCACATTTTTAAAGAGCTGTGCTCTCGCGTCACTTCGATACAAAAAATAATTTCGGCGCGAGTCCTCGCGACGCTTCGCCGGAAGAGTCAAATTGCGCGCTCCGTTACTCTTACCGAAAAACTATAGAGCTACCCTCTCGCGATACTAGATAATAAAAACATACGCGTACGTATGATAATGAGATAACGAATGAACGTTCAGCGATATTCGACAAATAAAATATAATCGGTGTGTGAATACGACACGATCTCGTATGTAAACGCAATGTATTGTAATGAATGAATGAATAAATGAATGAGTGAACGAATGAATGAGTGAATGAATGAATGTACGTATGCAATGTAATGTATGTATGTATGTATACATGCAAGCACGTATGTGTCTTGCACGAGCACTACCCCGTCACTTGTGACAGCGGGAGCAGTAGTAGTAATTATTGATTAATCGATCGATTGGTCAATCAATTAATAGAGTAGCAAATAATAGTATTAACAATTGATAAAAATCAGATGAACAGCGATGCTTCTTCTGTCGGGACCGGCGGTTTCAAACGCGACAACGCCAGCGACAATTAATTGATTTTTCTTTTTCCTTCAATAATACAATGAGGATTACCATAGCGATAAGTAGCTACTTTCTTTTTTTTTCCTTTTACGTTTATAATACAATAAAGTACAGAGTGCCTCGAAGAAAACTTAAACAACAATGTTCAACAATCGATAATATCAAACAGAATTATTCGTAAATATATTTATATATATTTATATATATATAAATACACAAAACGTAACATGTAGTCTCGCGAAGGAATGCCCTACTAAAAAATAGGTATCCGCACATTTGTTTTTCTTTTTTTTTTTCCGTTCATATCGTTCATTCGTGAAGTGGCGGAGAGGGGAACGCGATACCTTGGCCGATCGTTAGCTAATCCGCCCGAGGTAACGTTTGTATTCTTATTCGCCTTTTCTCTTGAAACGCACAAGTAAAAAACCCATGCTTGTGGAGAAGTTATCGATCGATTAAATTGTATTACGATTAAATTGTACCTTGTGTGCAATCTTCGTCGACAAGTTAAGAATCCGTTTAATACGAGCCCTTAATCGAGCACGGAGGAGAGAAAAAATGTATCTATACTCCCATCACTATCGACGGTATGGAGGGTATGATATTTACTTTTCTTCTCTCTTTCTTCAGCGCTTTAGGGAACATTGTCCCAGAATGCGCTGAATAGATGTGTCACGCTTTCTCTTTCTTTCCATCCTTCTTCCTTTCTCTACTTTCTCTTACCTCGCTCCGTTTCTTTGAAAGTGAGCGTGCAATTGAGATACATACTAAAAAATATCGCGGAGGAAAAGAGCAGAAGAACGTACGACTCTTAATTCGCAAATCCCTATACTCTATTGCTAGCAAGCGTCGGGCAAGACGTATTTACGAATGACGAGTTTGAAGAATTAGGAATTGTTAGTAAAGAGACAGAATGTGCTCCGTTTGAAGTTCTTGTCATGCCAATTTCACGTTCGATATAACGGAAGAATATAACGACACTCTTACGAATGACATTACACGATTTTGCGTGCGTACATTAATGAGATATGCAAGTCTATTTGAATATCTTTACTGCGATTTATATGGATATAGAGAGAACAACTTCGATTGACTTCTTTTTCTACGCATCGTCGTATTGAAACCAGTGCTTGAAGCGTCTACAGTGGCTACGTTTTCATGGCACTTCTCAGGAGAGACACCTTGAATCCAATAATCGAGATTTAATTGACACATCAAATCGCGTGGTAATACTATTTCAGAATGAAGTATTAAACATTAATAGTATCAACGATCGCAATTGCTAATACTATTCTTACAACGATACCAATCACATTCTCCAAATCGTCCCTCGTTATTCGCAAATACATGCAGCCCAGCACTGATTATCCGCGCGTTGCTCGGTTCATCGCTCGCGAATGCGGCCTACCGATCGCGAAGCGACCTTGTCAGAGAGAGAGAGCACCTTCGTATCTCGGAGATTCCGCAGAGGGGAGCCTCTGACCCGAGAAGGATAACTTGCTGTGGTGAAAGCCAGCTGTGGTGTGATGTAGTAGAAGAAAGTCGAAAAGCATTCTCTTCACGGACAGAGCGGGCAGCCGACAGCAGCTGATGGAAGCAACGAAGTAGTAGTTGGAGGAAGTACGAGCGTAGTCCAGCGTCGCGCTCACCATATGTGTGACCAAACGCGTGATAGGAGGTCAGGCGTGGAGCATCGTCGCCATAGGTCGTGCAAAAGAGAGCGTTAACTCGTCGTCGCGTAAGGCGTTACATACGTTGACTCGCTCACTCGCTCACTGCTGTTCACTGGCCAGAAGAAATCCAGCAGCGGGCTGTTCCACACGAGGAAGCTAGAGATCCACGAGACTTCACTTCGCGTGATGAGCGACTTAACGCGGCCTCATGGTGCTGTTCAGCGGTTGCATGAGACCACCGTTAATGTATCCGTGATACGTGGTGTAGACTGCCGCCGGGTTCTGCTGATGCGGGTCCTGCGGGTACGGCGCGGGCACGTTCACCACGCCAACTGGCAGTTGACTCGCTTGGTTCATAAAGCCGCCTAGCTGCGCCGCTTGGTTCATGTAGCCGGTGGCCGGCTGCGCCACTCGGTAACCGTACTGCGCGGCCGCCATGAGATTCGTATTGAGGGCGACGTTCGGACTGACGCGGGACGCGGCGCTCTGCATCTGCGGACAAGCGCTACCCGGGTCAAGGCTCTGTCGATAGAGACTCTCGCTGGGATATTGCGTGAGCGACGGCATGTTCGCCGCGTTTGCCGACGACCTGGAAGTGGAGCGGCTGGGTGGGCCAGGTGTACCAGGTGGCACGGTATTGACGTTGTAGTAGTTCTTGGGATAGCCCAACGGCACCTGCGGCGGCGTCGGTAGCTGCCGCGACGTCTGCGGCGGCGTCATGGTATGCGGGATCGGCGGTGGCGGCGTGAGGTTCATCGCGGGCGATGGTGTTGGCGGTATCATCTCCAGACCGTTAGTGAGCTGCTGCAGTTTTGCGAGGCTGCACGAATTGGTGGTCTGATGATTGCTGGAGGCCGATAGTGACGGTGGCGCTGGTGTGTGCGAGTGCGGCGGCATTGCGCTGGTCTGTATGTAGAAATTCGTGGCAGTGGTGCAGGGCGTAGGCGCGCCCGAGCGACCACTGCGATGCTGGATCACGTAGGTGTTCTGTGCAGGAAAGCCCTGCGAACCTGCCACCGCCATGTAATTACCCTGCGAGATCACCGCCATGTTGTGCGAATGCGCGGCGTGCGCGGCCGCGGCGGCGGTGTGCGAGTGAGGGTGAGGCGGCATCGGCGGCACGCTCATCGACGATGACGGTGACTGCTGATACTGTGGCGGCACCGCGTGTGTGCTGGTATGCGCCACGGTACTATTGCTGTGACCGCCACTGCCCTGCGACGTGTGTTGGGAGGTTTGTGTATGAGGTGTCGCCGGTGGAGTAGCGCGATGTGACGACCTGCTGCTGCTGCTGCTGCTGCTGCTCTGCTGCGTCGACCTGGACCTGTGAGTCGTCTGCGAACCGCTCGCTCTCTTGCTGTGTGACTGCGATTGTTGCGGTGGCTGCGACGGCTGTTGCTGATGCGCCGACTGCTGCTGCGACTGTTGCTGCTGAGATTGCGCCTGCTGTTGAGACTGACTGTGCGCCATACTTTGATTCTGTGCTTGCTGTGCCGCCAACGACAACTGCATCGGCTGCGGCGTGTGCGCCTGGGGCAAAGGCTGCGGCGTGTGACTCTGTGGCATTGGCTGCGGGCTCTGAGTCTGTATACTTTGCGGCGTATGCGATTGCGGTGGCAACGGCTGCGGCGTATGACTCTGCGGCAACGGCTGCGGACTCTGAGTCGGTATACTCTGCGGAGTGTGCGACTGCGGGGTGCGCGGTTGCTGGAGGGACTGTGGCTGTGGATGCATCGGGTGGATGCCTACATGAGCAGGCGGCGTATGCTGTGGCATCGAGCAGTCGGTATACTGTACCTGCTGCTGCTGCTGCTGCTGCTGCTGCTGCTGTTGCTGCTGTTGTTGTTGTTGTGGAGGTATATTCACCGGCATCGGCGACGACGACGACGATGACGACGACGTTACTGGTGCAGTGATCTGCATGGGCACCGTCATCGGTACACTAACCGCCGGCGGAATAGACGGCAATGCACTGGGTGGTCGTTCCACGCTGTTCTGCGACGCGAGATCACTAGCTATGGAAGTAGGCGACTCCAGACCTAATTGGCTGACGTCAAGATCGCATTGGCCGTAATGCAGCGAGTGTACGGAATTGGTGGTAGAGTCTGGTGTGTACACTCCCATAGACGGCAGATCCGGCTGCGACGGTGGCGTTCGTTTCACCGAGCCTGGATTATCCAAGTGCGGCGTCGTCTTACCGCTTTCGGGTGAATGCTGCTTCAACTCCTCCGTCTGAGTTTGCAACTGCAGTGTAGTATCCTGCTGCTCCAATGTCACGGGTAACGCCTTCTCTTGCGGCGTTAGAGGCTCGACTTCAGTGTTGTTCACCGCCGTATTATTGGCGAGCGTGCACGTATTTCGTTTCTCCGTCACGGGAGACGCCACCGGTCTCGGTCGCGTCAAGTCAACCTTCGCATCCTTCGGCGTCTCGCAGACCAATTCCTCTTTAGGATCGTCTTTCTTCGGCAGACTGACAGTCTCCGATTTGTCGACTTCCTCCTCTTTTGGTGAAGCAACTTCAGGTACTGTTTTCGATGTCTCCGGACTGCGAACAGGCTTCTCAGTCTCGGAGTCCTTATCACATTCGTTTAAAGTTTCAGTCTGATCGTCGTCGACCGGTAGACTCGTCACCGCCGCGTCTGTTTTCTGCGATGAGCTCTCGTTCTCTTTCTTCGTCTCATGCGACTTATCGTCCGCTGCTTTCTCGTCCTCCTCAATGATCTTCTTCACAGGCTTCTCCGCGACAGGCGACGATGGCTGCTGCTGCTGCTGTTGGCTGGTTACAGGTTTAGACATCGGCGCGGGTATTTCCTCCTCTTCGCCTTCGTCCTCGTCACCACCTTCGTATTCCCCAGGACTCGCGGAAACTACTTCCGTTTCTATAGTAACAGTCGATCCGTTGTTCTCCTCGGCGTTCTCACTCTTGTTATCTCCATTACTGGTTGCTGCCGAGTGCTTCGATGGTAAATCCGATACGGACGGTTGCTTGGTACGAACGGAACCGTTTTTCACGGCAGTTTCTGCAGGTGGTGGAGATAATGAGGGAGGTGGTATCACAGGACTCTCGGCTCTGTTCTTCGTAGGAGTTTCCGGCGTCAATTGCGGCATCTTCCGAGTTTCCGTTGTCGTCACCGTTGTTGTCGTCGTCGTTGCCGTTGTTGTCGTCGTCGTAGTCGTCGCCGTCGAATTCGGAGTCGTTGTTGTCGCTACCGTTGCTTTGGCCCTACCCCGTCTCGATAGCGACGAGTTCTTCGCAGAATCTCGCGCCTCTTCCTTACTGCCGTTACACTGCGTCTCCTCCGGCACTTTTTTATCTTTCGCCTGCTTCGCCTGCATATACTTAGTCTGCCTGCTAGTTACCTTCAACAAGATATCGTCCACTTTACACTGTTTCTTCGACGCGGATTTCTGAGACACCGGAGTCTGATCTCGTCGACTCGTGGATTCCAACTTGTGAGATGCTTTTTCCGCTGCCGTTTCCTTCGAGGACTCACTTTCCTTCGTTTTATCCTTGTCCTTTGTCTTCTCCTTCTCTTTGTCGCGTTCCCGCTCAGCCTCCCGATCGCGCTCCTTATCTCTCTCCCTCAGAGATTCTCGCGTCCTCTTTCTGACATTGGTCGTCTCTTCCTTCTCTGCGACTTCAGTCTTATCGGAATGTTTTCGTTTTCTCAACGGCGTCGTGATGGACGACTCAGCTAAGTATGTCTTAGGCGGTCTGATCCTTCTTTTCGACATCGTCATTATATGCGTTTTCGGTGTACTCGTCGGAGTCGTATTTTTTGCCGAACTGACCGCGCGAGAATTTCTCGGCGTAGACGATGTGCCGCTTTTGGCATCCGCTTCTGCATCTTTTCGATTCTCCGCGCTTTCGTCCTTACTACGGCTCTCCTTCGTAGATTCCCTCGACTCCTTCGACGCTTTAGTTTCCCTCGAGTCTTTAGCATCCTTCTCTTCTTTGGCCGTGTCTTTTTGAGGTGCAGTCTTCTGCGGAGTCTTCGGTTTCAAGGACGATTTTCTCTGACTCATTCTCCTTCCTTTGGGCTTCTTTTTTATCTTAACTTTCTGTATCTTCTCAACAACCGCCGCCGCGGGCTTAGGCTCTACCGCAGGAGACACTTCTGAATTAGTGTCGCCGCTTTCCTCTTGACTTTGATACGGATTAGGTATCTGCGTGAGCAACGGTATCCATCTGAGACAGTCGGGATCCAGTTTGATACGGGAACTCCTTCGTACTTTCGTCATGTGAGCGTCCACCTTATCCCAATCGACTACCACAGCCATTTTATAGTTCCCCTCTTCACCTGACAACTGTACCGACCTGATGAACCCTAGTAGTTGCATCGCAGTGGCGATATCGTGCGCTGATACACCGGTCTCCTTCGTGATATCGTCGAGTTTAATGCCATTGATATTCCGATGCGAGTCCAGATACTCGAGCACCACGCTTTTCCAGAAGGAATGATACGACACACGACCGAGATCCGAGAGTGGTTTTTCCGGCGTACCCGGAATGCCTTCGACCTTCGATAACAGGTAACTGAACTCTATGAGAAACCTGCCATAGCCTTGCCTCTGATACTGCGGCAGCGTCATGATGCAAGAGACGTTGTACCTCTGAGCTGGACAGTGTTTCTCTTTGCTGAAATATCCTATTAAGTGGCAACCGTACTTGTCGTTCTTGGTCACTGCGTAAAACAGAAACGGCTCTACGTCGTAATAAAGCGTCTTGTGATCCAGGAACAGCTTCGCCAGTAGACATAGGTTCTGACAATATATCTTGTTCACGTTACCGTCGATCTGCAACACGTGGAGAGTATGTTTCCTCCTCAGTTATCACAAATTGAGTGTATGTAACGTAAAAAAGAAAACGTTGACAAGACTATGAGATGTTATTTTCAATATGTCAACATTATTAGTCCTTTTAATATTATCATATTTAATATACAAAACATTTCGTCGTATTGAATCTTCCTGTAAGGTTAATATTACAAAAATGTATTAAATTAATAAAAATTTATTGATATTATAAATAAAATTGATTAATAAAAAAATCGATATTATAATATTATGATAAGATCAAAAAGATTAGAACTAATGTGTAACATTTGATATATTAAAAATAATATTAAAAACTTTCCCTTGATGAGATTATAAATAATAATTTGCTCGCAACAATTAATTTAAATGGCTCTAATGAGTCTTTGACGCTTCTCATGAATTATTTTAAGAACTTTGAAATAATTGTGAAAGAAAAGAAAATAATCTTGAAAGAAAAGTGATACGTATGACGCACGTACCTCGAATACGGACAATCCGTTACACCTGTAGATTTCGGTAGCAGGAGGATGCCTCCATTGACATTTATCCATATGCCTGTCAAGCACCGCTCGGCTTTTCGTGTACTTGAGACAAAACTCGCAAAAGAACAGTTTAGGTAGTCGCGCGTACTCCTGAGGGAACGGACTCGAGTACCAAGTCTCGACCTCGTAACGGCCGAATACGATCGCTGCAGGATTCCGTACTGTGCTACTGGACACGTTGCTGGCCGTCGAGTTAACCCACAAGTTATTCTCGTCGCTGCTGACGGTTAATCGGGCCGCTTTGTCGCGCGCATCCCTGAAGAGATCCACGTCCTTCGGCGTGACGCCCGGTGGCAAAGACTGCGGGACGACGGGCTCGTCTGTAAGAAGGAAAAAGGTTTATGAACATCCACGAATCGAATCGACGTTCTAACGCAACAATTCGTTTCTCTCTTCGTGGTAGAAATCAATTTTACATATTTATCATCACTGATATTAAATAAATCACATCTCTGCGTACGACGTTACCTTTAACTGCTTACAATTTGTTGTATGAGAAAAACATAGGAGAAAAGTGTCTCATGTAAAAGAAATCTGATGGACGAACTCGTAAATAATGAGAAAAATGTCAGGAATGATTCGCCGTCAAACTCGGCATCGAACGTGGAGCGTTCAGTTGCGCGCGCACTTCGGAAAAGAGAAAAAAAAGAGAACAAAAGAGACGTTAACTCTAAAGTACGTTAAAGTACGTGTCGACGTACTGCGACAAAAGACAAGGGCATAAACGATGTGCATTACGTTGGTGGTGTAACTCGCACTAGATACGAGATGCATTACACAAAAAGCGAGGATAATTTCATTATCACCCATGACTCAGGTACGTGAATACGCGACCTGGACGATTTAGTAGCCATCATATTTTAGATTAACGGCGGGGAAGTAGCCATGTCCTATTTGTGGGAACCGACTGGTCAAAAGTGGATCTATATTAAACCATAGGAAGCGAAATTAAATCGATCGGCTTGGCGTGGTGACAGTAGCAATCCCACGTGATAATAACGTCAAAGAAAAAAAAAATTATAATAGAAAAAAAAATGCGGTCAATAACTCGATCGCTGTTAATAATGTGAGTAGTATTCCAAAGCAAAGCTGTGGGTTAGGTTTATGGGATGTGTTGGCAGAGTATCAAAGTTGGCTCTTCGTCGGCAGGGACTTCTCTTTCGTGAAGAAGGGGTGAAGGGGGGGTGGTGTTATACAACAATGCCTGCTAAATGTCAGCAGCAGCAGGTAGGCTCCAGTTGTGAATGGTACAAGGGGACGGCTGAGTGAGATAAGTCACCCATAGTGCCGTATTTCTCGTCAGCGCCTGGAAATACTCGTTGTAGTCGTCTCTCATTTTTACAGACTGAGGGGAGAGAAGAGTTGAAGAAACGACTCGTCAATCTGAACTCGCGTTCGATCGAATATCGTTACGCGACAATAAGCGCGCGATATGCTCGGCGCGTATCATCTTCTCTCGCGCGCAATCTCGATCGAGATAAAATTCCGGCCGTTTTTCTTTGGTAAGTGGAGCATTTTGATCTGCAAGAATGCAACGAGAGCGCCCGTCTGACTCTCACCGCTCGAATGCCGCGGAAATCGCACTGGACAAGTCGATTCGCTCGAAATGCAAGAAAAAGAAAGAAATGATGCCAATGTACAAGATGAGAGATTGAAATAAAAGTTGTGCGAATATGGCATGTATGTACAATGGCACGGTGCATTTGCAAATGCAACTATGGTAGCTGTGTGTCCTGTACAAGTAACCTGGCAAAAACCACGGTGTTGTTTGATTGCAAAACGTAAGGTGATCGGCTCCAAAGTAACGAATATAGAATGAAGAGGCTTCTCTACGTGTGAGAGGACGTGTCTCTTCAGAACTCGTCAATAATTTTTCTCGACTCGACGGCCGTCTCCCAAATGTATTTAGCGTGGATTAAAGGAAACAAAATGCCAGAGCCAAGTAATAACATGATTAACAACATGCAATAACCACAGTATTCACAGTGTAAAACAAATGAAAATAACTTGCTTCATTCTCATTAACTGCCGCGCATTATGCGCATACATTATAATCGCTAATCGCCTCCCACATCCCCATGTATAATTTCTTGCGATTGCGTATTGTCAAATATATTGTCACAATGTATTATCATTGATTTTACACTATGTAGCAGATAAACGTCTTGTCAAGGAACCTGATTGTTCGTGATTTCATTAATTGCACTTGTTGTCGTATCAGCCGCAATGAAATAACCAATAAATATTCGCAAGAGTAATCAGTAAGCTTCTACAAACGATTTCTCGGTATCAAGCGGAACAATCACGTTAACTTGGAAGATGTTATATGGTCATCAGACATACGTGTACACACACATCATACCACACACCACACCGCCAACACATCCACGTGGTTGTGAGCGAGGATTAGATTAGAAGGAAATCTTCTTTGCGACTTTGGGTGCATCATCGAGGTTAGGACTTGTGAACGGGTGGGGTAGACTCTTACCCTTCCTGGTGGAGCAGGGTGTCGCGCGGGGTGTCGTGGTGGTGTTGGTGGTGGTGGCGCTAGTATAGGTTCGTGGATTGGACTTTGGATTGGGACTTGATTTGACGGAATCGGAACTGAGGCCGGATTTCGCAACGGATGCGGGCACAGGGTGGCGTGTCTGACTTGTGTCCGCAGCTGTATGCTTCTTTCGCGACTGCTGCTGCTGCTGCTGCTGCTGCTGTTGCTCGTGTCTCGACGATGAGGATGACGGTGACGAGGGAGCCGCTGTCGCGGCGCATTTAATGAGCGACGATGCGTCATCTTTCATCAACTTTCTCCTCTCATGCTCGTGCCTCTTACTGTTCACCGCGGTCTTCACCAGATTCGAGGGAGTCATTTTCGGTACTTTTTCATTCAGTGAGGAGTACAGGCTCTCGTCAGAAGGAACGAAGATACCGGGTTTCGGTACTCTCGACGTAGTCTCGACGACTTCGGTCTTTTTCCGTTCTTTCGACTTACTAGGCGAATCGTCCGGCTTGTTTCGCTGGTTATTACCAGTCCGAGAGGAAACTCGATTAGTTTTCGCCTCGGTATCTTCGGCGTTAGGCCTTTTCCTCCTATCCGGCGCGTAATTCGGCGCCGGCACACCCGCCGATCTCGCTCTGCTAGGTGCTGAAAAAAAGTGACTCAAACCGTCGAAGAGGCTTCTCAACTGACCACTCCCAGGTTTCACTTTGTTATCGGCGCTCACGAGTGCGACGCTTGGTGATTGCACGGCGGTATTGCATTTCAGTTGTTTCTTTTTACTGTCTGGCGTATTGACGGCTGCGGGCTGTATATGCAAGCCGAAAGTTGGCGTGTCGCTCACGTCAAGCTTGGGTAATGAAGCGCCGAAGGTGTTGGTGATATTGCTGAAGAAAGGCGACTCTACGTTCAGTTTGGCAGCGGCAGCAGCGAAGCCCCACGGCTTGTCCTCGCTGAGATCGCAGGCGAACGGCACTTTCGTCTTAGGAGACTCGATTCTATCGTGTTGCGCTTCGTCCGACGATGAACAAGTATCGCCGCTGCTCTCACTCGAGCTATTGCCCTCCTCATCGTCGTCCTCGTCGTCGTCGTCGTCGTCGTCGTCGTCGTCGTCGTCGTCGTCGTCGTCGTCGTCGTCGTCGCTACTATCACTGCCTTCCGAGCTCTCACTGCTGTTATCAGCCTCACTACTGCTGCTGCCTTCGCCGGCACTGCTGCTGCTAGACACTCGCGACATTCCAAGCTTTTTCGGATCCGCAGTACCCCGAGTCGACCTAGCGCTAACGTTCCGCGAGGGTCTCGATTTATCACCGCCCCCCACCCGCTTCAATTTACTGTGTTCAGCGTTAAATGCGCTCAATCTAAAGAACTTTTGCTTCTCTTTGGAGATCCTGTCGTTCTTTTCCTCGAGTAGCCTACCCTGGCCTGCGAGTGGGGTGGGGGGTTGTGGTAAAGGAGAGGAAATCAAAGGTGGTTGACGAGGGGAGACAACACCCGCATTACCGTCCGAGCTGCTGTCCACCTGAGCCACACACGCACTGCCTTTCTTGACCGGATACGTACTCGCCATGTATTCTCTGGATACCATTGATCTGTAAAAGAAAACATCACCGCAACATACGTTAGTTTATCCAGTTCATTATCCGAAGTGCAAAATCGTCGTGTGATTGCAGTTATTGACACAAACATGCATTATTACTTAGTTGATTCGGAATATACATTTTACTTGCAAGTATATTTCATGTTCACAAGCAACACATGTTCAGCATTTATAAGAAAGGATTTTTTAGTCAACTTAATGTTCAGCATTTATAAGAAAGGATTTTTTAGTCAACTTAATGTTTGAGACCCGACTTATTCATTACGTTAGAACATGCACAATGAGTTCTACTATATTCTAATGTTAGAACGTTTCCTCATCGAGTACATCACATGACATGCGTACGCTCTTACACTTACTTTCGATTCTCCCGCAATTTCAGCCTCTTCCTCGCGCTGTTTGTCGTGTCGTCGTCGGCTGAATCCTGCGCTCTGTTCTTCTTACCGTCGTCTTTGCCAACCGGTGTGTGCGCTGTTAAACAGTGCCGACATCTCCAGGGTGCCCGGTTTTTCTTGTCAAGGCTGGGGTCCAGACAGCTAGGATGGTAACACTTGACGCAGCCGGCGCACTTGACCAAATAATTCTGCGACTCCCGCTCCAGCTGACAACCGGAGCAAGTTGGCGAGCAATCGTCGCAGGACCAGATTATCCCCCGTTCGACAAGCACCGAGAGTTCGGGCGGCGCGCACGAATTGTGCAGGGCGGCACCGCAGATGCTACACCTGCTCAACTTCTCGTTGGAGTTGCGCTTGGTGGTGTTGTTGTTGCCGGCCATCGTAGCGCCAAGGCACTCCCGACAGATCGGCAGCGGTGCCGGTAGCTGCGGAAAATAAGCAGAAAACGACGTCCAATTAAGTATCCCTCTTTAACCTGCATGCAAGAGGAAGTAATATAGCGTAATATAATATAGTATCATGTGAAATCTATTATTAGAATAATATAATTTAAACATAGAAAATTTATAGCACTCGATGTAAAATAATATTTATAGTGTGGAACTAACAAAAAATGATAAAATAAGATTGACGTCCGGCACAGGTAGGCAATCTTCTCTTTATCTCTTCATCTTAAGAATACTATAAAATTACAAAGTAGACTACAGCGTAAAACGAGCCTTAACGCCGGCTGTGTCGATTTCTGTGTATCAGTCATTCGATACCATCTACTGTTGTTATGTATCGCGTGATACAAAAGGCGAACGAATCCTGGCGCAGAACGTAATTATTCATTTCGGCGGCGCGGTAACGCAGGAACGCCGGGTTAGGTGCGGTGCTGCACTTATACACACCAGAGGGGTGCATGTTATTAAGAGAGTGCGGGTGGGAACGTCAACGACGCCAACAACGGTAACACTAATTCCGACGAAACGTTGCCTCAACAGAACAATAAGGCAGCGTGGAAATTGCCCAAATGAAAATTTAATATCGCGTGTATATA